AAAAAAATGGGGGAGAATGGGGAAAATTGGGGATGTGTGTAAAAAAAAAATGGGGAGAAGGGGTGAAATAGGGGTTGTGGGGTACCTATAGATATGTATAATGGGGGGGGGCAAAGGGCTATAGGTGCAAAAACCGTAGGTACGGGACGTAAATGGGTCGAAAAAGGTGCAAAAGTGTCAAACCAGGTTTTTCCAGGTTGAAATTGAGGCGGAAACGCAGCGGGAGAGCGAGGGAGCCTATAGAGCGACGTATATAGTCTGCGTAGGGGCGAGCGCGAGCCGCCCGTCTATACGTTCTGTGCGGGCGTGAACGTAAGTGATTCTTCTCGAGGATCGTTAACGGCCGAGTTAATTGGAGGGAGCGTGGCGCCGTTGCCGGGGGTCCTATAGAACAGGCGTGCGGGGAGAGGAAGGGGGATGTATAGGAGCCGAGGGGCAAAAGGACGTATAGAGGGGGGAGCATGTGTGTGAAAGAACGTAGGGGTCACGTGTAACGTGTAGGGGTCATGTGTAACTTATAGGGGTACGTGTAATGTACAGGGACCTATATAACATCTAGGGGCACGTGTAAGAGATAGGGGTACGTGTAACGTACAGGGACATATAGAACGCGTAGGGGCACGCGTAATGTGTAGGAACGTCTGTAACGTATAAGGGCATGTGTAACGTATAGGGGCGTATATAACATATAGGGCTATATATAACCTGTGGGGCATGTGTAACGTGTAGGGATACATATAACAGGTGTGTGTAATGTATAGGGGCGCGTATAATGTGTAGGAGCATGTGTAACGTATAGGGCTGTATGTAACATAGGGACATGTGTAACATATAGGGATATATAATGTATAGGAATGTGTATAATGTATGGGGTATATGTAATGTCTAGGGCAGTATGTAACACGGGCACATGTAACATGTAAAACGTTAGAGCCATATGCAATGTATAGGAACGTATAGAACATAGGGATGCATGTAACATAGGGGCACGTGTAACATAGGGACGTGTATAATGTATGGGAATGTATATAACGTAAGGGGCATATGTGACTTATGGGGTTGTATTGTAATGTATAGGGCGACTTTTAACATGTAGGGAGGTATAGAACATATAGAACCATATGTAACATGGGGTGGATGTAACGTATAGGGCCACAGGGAACATATAAGGGCGTATGTGACGTATAG